AATTATAATTCCAGCCCCCCGTACCTAAAATACAAGGAGAGAAGCTGTAATTAATAAATTGGTTGCACAATCATCCACAGAAAGTTTTAACTGTGATTTTAACTCTAAATAAAATGTACCTGGTGCAATGAATACAGAAAATATAGTGTCCCTGCCTAGTCACGGTTGACGAAATAGCTTAAGAAAGTGAAGCTTCTGTAGAGGTGTGTGCTGGGAAGCCTGAAGTGCCAACTAAGTGTGATGAGGAGAGTGGAGAGCTGTGTGTGAGGGACAGAGTTATAAAGATGGCCGACAGGGAGGCAAGCAGGAGGCGAGCTGCGTAGGAGGTGGGGAGCCGGTAGAAACAAGGAACCTCTCAAAACACGCCTCCCCACTTCAACACATCCCATCGTCCTTGCCACCTCCTGAGGCAGTTCTTGAAGTCCTCCTTAGGAGATTTTCAGCTGGGCTATAATGGCCACCCAGTGTGCTGAACTGATTCACAACATTTACCTTCCATGGTCATTTTGACTTTGAGGAAAAGCCGGAATTCACACGAGGTCACATCTGGTGAACGAGGGGTGGATGAAGACACACCACAGTATTTTTATGGTCTTGCTTTCCCTGGCAGCACCATTAGCATATTTTTTGTTACACTTCATAAAACACACTTGTGAACAATGACTTCCAGAACTGCCTCAGAAAGTGGCAAGAAGGTGTGTGCTTGAAGGGGGATTAGCGAGAGTGTATCTTTTACTCTTAACATTTTTTAACTTAAGCTTTTATTTTTTATTCCAATCACCTCTTGTATGTACTAAATGTGGAGATTTTCCAAACAGTGAAAATAAAATATTTTGCTTTTTAAAAAGTAATTACAACCTCAGGCCCTTGTGCTTGCCAGGCAAGCGCTTATTCTACTGAACTCTCTCCCAGCCCCTCATTTCTCAGTTAGAGCCTCTGACTCCTGGGAAGAGCTGATTATTCCTGTGGGGTTGCAAACATAAGGAAAGGGCCGCCCACATTAGGTCAGTGGTCAGTAAACAAATCTAAGAGAATCCTGCACACCGTTGAGGGGCCCGAAGGCAAGGGGGCACGCAGTGAGCGCATGAAGTGCTACGTGAGGCTGGACTCCACAGGCCTGGCGTGTGGTGTATCAGTCAATATTTTCTTGTAGAAAAATAAATACATTGTCAATAATCTGCAGTATGCAATAAAGCAACCATTGTTGAATTCATACCATTTTTAGTGAAATTCTGTATCATTTCTATTTTTTTTACTATCTTTATTCTCTTTAAAAAGAATCAAATCAGAAAGAAGTTAAATAGATAATAACATGCCTTCACAGTAAGTGTATATTGTAAATCCACATAATTATATCCTAAAGGTAAAAACTTGAATAACTAGTTGTTAATATGCATTAATAGATATTAATCGGTAATTTCCTACAGAAAATCTAGTCATATCATTGACTATTATTTATCAAAATGTTTTATTATTTTTCAACTCAGTCTCTACAGGGTGGCCTTTTGGATGGTAAATGAGTAAACCACATGATAAACATTTAAAAGCGACTTATTATGTCCTGAGTTGTCACGCCTATTTGTCTGACTTAGCCTATTCTTTCAGACAGTAGCTACGTCTCCTCCTCCTTTGGTGTTAGGAGGACACGCTTAGGCCTTCTTTCCACGAATCACCCCGTCCTTGCTTCCCTGCGCCTTTGCGTGTGTCTAGAGGGGCCTGTTCTCCAATACTATTTACAGGCTTAAAAAAATAGAGCTGATGCAGGATAATGTAGTATGCTTGATACCAAATTTTCACTTTCGTTTTAAATGGTTTTTGACAAGGATTCATTTACTGTTTCAAATCTCATCAAGCTTAATTTTCTCTCCTGCAATTTCTGTGAGAAAAACAGCAAGATAGTCCTGAAAATCCAACAAAAATAAGAGCCAACTGCAAACATGTAGTGTAGGACAAGGTTCAACTCTAGGTGCAGCCATGGACTCAGTGGGTCTCAGGGCACCACGGAGTGTCTGGTAGCTGACCTGGGAGCCTGGAAGACCTGCGCTCAGGCTGAGTGTGTCTTGCTCATGGGGGCCCCTCCAGAAGGGTAGCGTGGCCGCCTGTCCCAAATAGTGGTCTTAGTGTAGTCAGACTTCTACCGTGGCAGTTGGCTTTTCCCATGATTCGTCCCAGCAGTGCTGGGGTGAAGCTCAGAGCTCACTAAGATGCTGCCCCTCAAGTTACATAGCATCACTTCCACCATTGCCTACCAATTGCGACAGCTGCAGAACAGCTCAGATTCTGGGAAGTGCAAGATGGGCTCAGCTTTGCTCACACAGAAAGGAAAGGAAGGAAGGGTGGCCCTCTTAGCCACAGTCCAGCAAAGTCCTTCATGCATTCCTCAGATGACATCTCTACCTTTCTATGTAATTTTGAATGGCTTTTCCCTGACCCACATGCTTTCTGTCTTTCTTTATCTTCTATCAATAGAAACTATCTCCTAGAGTGACAGCAAATAATCAAGGATCTTTGCTTCTTTCAACAAATCAGATTTTATAATCACATCTATATTCAAATCTCAGCTGTTATACATAGCAGAACAAATTTGGCAAGTATTCCTCTCGTTGGAATGGACTCTGATTCCCAGTGCCTAACATGAAACCACATATACAGAATGACACTGACTGCCTATTCTTAACTAAACAATCTCCATTAGCCTCGCCATTAAATAGGAATAATAATGTCCACCTTAGAGTGGCCTATTGATAGATAAATAAGTTAATGTCCAGCAATAACTTATAGCACCAGACAATGAGAGTATGGTAGCCACTGTTATACTTATAGTTAATATCATAGCTAGTTATTATAGACACTTCTCTGTTACTGTCAGCAGTCTAAGTTGTCAGATACCTTCTTAAGCACCTGGATCCAGCTTATCTTCCTTGCTACATCATTAACCGCTATTTTAATGGGTTTTGATATTGTTGAGCCTATTAAACATATTTTACATAAGGCCTAGACCTTGCCAACCTTAATAATCATGTTCTCCATTTCACTCCTGAAAACCAAAATGTCACTCAAAACTGCCCTACCCTTAACACATCACAAAGTCTGTAATTTCCCTTCACAATACAAGCTCCTACTACCGTATCAGTCTCCCATGGTAACCCACACTCCAGACCCCCCTCGTGCCCCCTTCACCAGTCATTCAGGCTTGCCCTTTTCTCACCTCACCACCCCTTCACATCACGCACATCCTCGGCATCTGTAATGATAGACACTCACACACTGCTGAGCCCCTCCAGCTGAGTAGATGCCCCGACTCCTTCAGTTCTCACTTGCCCAGCCTTGCACACTTGGCCAACCTTGCACACCTGGCAGGCTTTGCACAATTTGCCAAGCTTGCACACTTGCCCAGGCTTGCATACTTGCCCAGCCTTGCACACCTAGCCAGCCTCGCAAACCTGCCCAGCCTTGTGCACCTGCCCAGCCTTGTGCACCTGCCCAGCTTTGCTCACCTGCCCAGCTTCAGCACCTGGCCAGCCTCATGCACCTAGCCAGCCTCACACACCTAGCCAGCCTCACGTACCTGACCAGCCTTGCACACTTGCCTAGCCTTGCACACTTGCCCAGTTGTACTTCAAAATAACATAACAGTCTGGAGTCCAATCCTGTTCCAAATGCTTTACGTTCTTCTCTCCTTGCTTTCTCCTGTCACCTACTCCCCCAGACCTCCTTGTTGCTGCTCCATCCCAGGGCTGCCCAATATTCCTTTCCCACAGGTCCTTTCTTCTCCCTGTCACCTTCCCAGTGGAGCGAACAGCCCCTTTTCTCACATCAGTACTCCCTGCCATCTCCTGCTGCTGCTTCTCAGCCAAAATGTTTGTCCTTCAGCTTCTAGAACTGCCATGAGCCCTGAAGAGGCAGTGAAACTTTTTTTCTGTGTCACCATTCTTTCTTACAACAGTCCCAAAGACGCAGCAGTCTTCACCAACTGCTCGGTCTCTGACACTAAGTCACGTGTTAACTCTGTGACATCTTCTTCAGTTCCAACATCTTCAAACTCCAAACCACAAAATCCGGAGAGCACCTGACTATGGGAGAAAGTTCCAGCATAATATTTTTATTCAAAATAAAAACCTTTTTGCATCTTCAATTGTTCATGTTGTTAGAAAAGTGTCGGTAAGAAAACTGACATTACTTTAAGCCACTAGTTATCAATACCTACATATTTTAAATGCTATCAAAATAACTATTTAGGAATACTGATAGGTTTCTCCTCAAATCAGATCATGGTTATTCACTGAAGATGAAGTCCACTAATGCCCAGATTTATCAAAGCTGTTCTTTACCATTCTTTCATCATCAAAAGGCAATTAGCTTCCTCTGATTCCCTACCCTTCCATACCTACAAGAAGCTAATTACAGCCTCCTTTAAATTCCTTATAGAACTTTATGTATGCCTGACATAGATATATATGCTTCCTTTTTCTATACCATCATCATTTCAAACCCTTTTGTATCTCTTTTGTTGGGATTTAGGTGCTTGATAGACTACACCCCAGTGCTTGTACATTGTAGGCTTTTTGAACCTGAAATTAGCCCATCCACTACTATCTGCTTGAATGAATGGAATTGTTTTCATTCTTTGTAGCACTGCCTGTCATTCTCTGATGCTGCCTCTGTAAACTGTGATTGATTGCAACAGCTGTAGTTGATATTGACATTCACATCCTTGTGTCTGCTTTTAATTATTTTTTCTTTTCTTATAAAATATAATGCTAATTCGCAGTTGCCTCTAGGTACAAAGTGTCAGAAAAATATTGAATCTATAATTAAGTTCCCTCCAGAAATCCTAGAAACCAATTTGCAGCCCATAACTTCTTGCTGTCAATTTTCATTACTGAATACATATTTCATTAAGATGATTATATAGTTTGATGAAATCCACATTGGAAATACAATTTCTTGTGGCTTCTAATGGTCCGCACTTAACCTTATCCATTGCCTTTTCCCTATAGGTCCCCCAGGCCCACCAGGGATAGTAATTGTTGAGGAAATCACTGAAAGCACAGCCACACTGTCCTGGACTCCAGCCGCTGACAACCACAGTCCCATCTCCTCCTACAACCTGCAGGCTCGCAGCCCCTTCTCCCTGGGCTGGCAGACTGTGAGGACAGGTAAGAGATCCAGGGGCCTAGCTTTTCAAGGTCAGTGAAGACTCAGGACATACGAGAACCTGTACTGTAACATCCTGTAACTCAGTTGTGTCCCAAATTTTCTGATCAAGGAGATTATGGGGCCACAGAGGAAAGTGATAGATGATGTAGAGTGTGCCTAAGGAGAATCACATGGAGAGAAAACATTCTCTCAGGCTTTCACAGAGAGCACATTGGTCAAGCAATAGCCGTGACTCATCCTCATGGCTGACACTCACAAAGGATCTGCAAACTGCGGTACAGGGTTTCAGGATAAATCTTGAATGGATCTGACTGACCTTATCAGATACAAAAGTTACATTTCTTGTTATATAGGTCTTGCTTTATCTTGGTCTTAATCATCCAGCAGAAAAGAATAAAAGTGAGGTATAAAAAGAAAAGCCATATTAAAATGATAAGATGTAAAAGGCTCAAGTCAAAAATTTTTGACATTGCCAGTCTTATAGAAAACCCACTACTATTATGGACTACTGGACTATATTGGACTATTTTGCTGAATTCATGCACTACAATATTTAAATGACAATGGTATACCCTTCTCTGACAAAACTAAACAGAAAAGGGATACAAATGAACAACCATTTTGTATCTGTAAATTCAAAACATTTAGGATAGGTATGCAGCTGCTTTTAATTCAATGAATAGAGAGATTTTTCTGATAGTGTTTGTAGACAGGATATCATGTCTGTATCTTGTACAATGAATAACCACTAAGACCACAATACGCAATGTATTAATTGTTGAAACTGTACTAGTAATCAGTCTCATTGCTATTTGCTGCTCAGTAAAATTATTTTTAAAAAGATCTTTTAAAAAAGAGAGATCTGGGGATGGTGGTTGGACACAGAACAACTTCCTACCTCTTGAGGTAAATCTGTTAACAGGCTCACTTGGGGTGCTTTCAGATTCTGGAAACTTATCCTTATTTATCCCAAGAGTGAATACTGCTCAGTTCTTTGCATAAACCTGAGAAACACAAGCTCCCATGCTGTCCTCTTTGCTCAGTTCCCAAAGAGGGACCGCATCTTGTTTACTAGTTGAAATAATTTTAGAATCACATGGATGTTGCAAAAATAGCAGACCTACTCCTCAGATTGTCCTGATTATAACATGTTACATAACCATCATATAATTCGCAAACCAGGAAATGGACGTTGGGGCAACATTGTCAAGGAATGGTCAAGCCTCACCTTGGGGTCACCAGTTCAACAGGCAATTTCTGGGGAAGTACAGTTCTATGGCAAACTTAGAAGTTTTGTAGTAGAGATTTCAATAACCTCTGAGATGAGAAGTAGAACACTTCCATCGCCCCAGTTCCTTAAGCTGCTCCTTTATTGTCATACATGGGCTTTGTATGTAAAAAGAAACCCAGTGTAAGTTATGTTATTTGAAACAGTCCAGTATTTTAATGTCTGTTATTAGGATTTTATTATAGTTGTTTATTTATTTATTTATTTTCATGATTCTAGAGATTTATTTATTTATGTCCTTATTTATTTATTTTTGTCTTCTTGAGACAGGATCTCACCATGCAGCTCAGAATAGGCATGAGGTCGCATTGTAGTTCAGGTCGGTCTTGAACTCACAGTGATCCTCCTGCCTCGGCCTCCTGAGTGCTGGGATTACAGGCATGTGCCACCATACCTGGCAGCACTAGGGATTTAATCCAGAACCCTCATGTTGATCTACAACCCTAATCTTTTTAAACATTGCCTTAATTTTAAACAGGATAGGTTGTCCAGGCAATGCTTAATTTTATTTTAAACAGGCTAAGCTGCCCAGGGAATTTCTGTCTCATTCTCCCAGAGTACTCAGGATACAGTTTGCCACCACACCCAGCTAGTTCCTAAATTTTAAATATTATCTTTGTCCAGAATGGTTTTCTTTGTTGTAAGACCAAAATCTTCTTCTTTCTCAAAATGGGGTCATCCAGTAGGAATATGTAAAATCACTCTCAGCTGGTGGTTATCAGATATGTATTTAATACAATATTTGAAAACTATATAAGAAGCTAAAGAAATAAATAAGACCCAAAACGTTCAATAGATATTGTGAAATGGAAGAGAATCCTCAAAAGGAAAGAGAAACTGGAATCAGGGAAGGGAGAAAAGAAGGAAGGCAAAAGGGAAATACATATATCATATATATATATATATATATATATATATATATATATGACTGTTAAGATAGTCATACTTCTAATTACATTAACTTGTTGAAAAGAAGTATTTGTGCCTAATATTGTTTGATCAGTTTTTTATGCTTACATCTTGTAATCTGAACAACTACTTTGAAAAAAAAAATACACAATACACTAACCATGGTTACTCTCCTACAATCTTGTTTTGAAATTTTATACCATTGTTTTTCTTGTTTATTTTTCTCTTCCTTAAAATAAAAAAATTAAGACTCTTGAATGTCATCTTCAGAACAGTTGTCAATCCCAGTTAAGAATGTGTGCTTATGTTTTAAGTCAGAATTGATTTATTGGTTTTTAAGGCAAAAAGCAAGCATCAGTATAATATCTGAATGCAGAAAGAAATTCAACCAAGGGATTAGTCCATTTGTGCCTTAGATAAATATAATTTGAGCAGAAAGTTAATTTGGTATAAAGTTTACAATTAGAGAGCAAAGTATATTTATTTACCTGCAAAAGTAATCTGAATTTTACTGATTTCAGGGTTGTGCCTTAGCTTAGGCCTCAGCGTGCTTACCTTTGTTGTGCACTATGCACATAGACCCACACCTCGTGATACAGACGTATGCCTCACTTTCTGCTTCATTGCAGCCTGGTAATACCACAGCAGACCCAAGAAACCTGGGGAAATCTGTGGCGATGGTAGATTCAGGAGAAACACAAATGTACGGAGATTCAGGAAGGACACAAATTTGCAAGACACAAGCTGATTTGCACAAGAGTTCTTCTAATTCCGCCCCAGTGCTCCCGTGCTACCCTTAGTGGCATAGCTCCAAACTTTGACTCTTCCATATCTAGGAAATGGACTCGATGTCAGCTCTGGTGCTGCGCACCACCTGTCCCAGCCACAGCAAGCCTTCTAGAGCTTTCCATGGTATAAACCGAGCCCTGAGGCCATAGGTTTGCCATCACTGACCTAGCTATCCTCCAGCCTCAGGCTATATTCCTGCTTGCTCTTGCAAGTGACCCCGTCAGCTACTTCAAAGCCCATATTTCTTCTGAACACATGTCAACATGTATAAATGTCTATTTTATGGCTGCAGTAATTCAGACCATCTTAGATTTTACTAACTGTAGCTACTTCCTTTGTTACTTTCATTCTCTGATTCTTGTCTCTCATTTTCTTTCTTGCCCATCTGTTTCTACTTTTTTAATGTGAGAATGTGTTCATGAGTGTGTAAGCATGCACACACCTGTAGTGTCTATGGATCGAATGTTGTATTTATCTCAGAAGTACCTATTCTAAATGTGTGTCTTTATCCTTCTAATATAATGTTAGTAACACATTTATATTGGGAGCTATTTTCTAGTTCCTTAAAGTCTTATTGCAATCGTATGATAATAAGTAAATGAATTGTCTCATGAATACATTCCTGACCTATTTTACCCTCCCCACCCTTCAGAGTGCTAGGTATGTAGCGGGCTGTTGGTCTCTTAACTTAAATCAGTATTAGTCAAAATAAGTGCTAAAATAGAAATTTCTATTAAGAAATTTCTATTATAATTTAATTTCTAAATTTCTATTAGAAATTTCTATTTATTTCTTTAAATAGCATTTAAAGCGCTTCAAATTCCTTTATATACCAAAATGAATATGAAGAAGAGTGCATTCCTTATATTTGTTGAAGTAAAAAGTTGCATGGACTTTCAGTCTAAGCACACTTTACAATAGATTTATATATACTGGCTCCCACAAATGAGACTCAAAGGAAAAGATGATGATTCATCCTGAAGAAAGTATGAAAACAACTATAAGAGATGTTTTCATTTACAAATCCCTTTCTAATGAAACAAATTCCCTTTAATGTAGAATAACCTGCTTCTTCAGGTTATTGAGCAGTGTTACACAACTTGTGTCTCCTCAACAGTTTCAAAGCACCTATGTGCATAGAATTGACTGGTCTCTGTTTACCCAATTCAGCTATTTTCAAACTACCTCTCTACCAGTCTATGGGCGGGTTTCTGAATATGTTCCCCATGGGTCCGTTGATTAAATTTTTCCATTTAGCAGGGTATTTTGTATTATATTCAATAAATTCCTGGATGGGATTCTTTCAGGAGACAGATATTTCCACAAGTCTTTCCCTAAGTCAGTCAGTGTGAGGTCCTCTGCTGTCTGCGATAGTTTGCAAGTACTATCTGAAATACACTTTGCCTGAAACTAAAAGCATGCTTACTGGGCCGGGGAGATAGCTCAGCAGTCTACGCACCTGCCTAACAAGTGTAAGGACCCAGGTTCAGTGCCCGGTACTGCATGCTGTGCTGCTCAGGGAAACTGGGTGTGGTGCTGCCCGCCTGTAATCTCGGCCCGGGGGAGGCTGAGACAGGAGGATCACTATGAGTCCAAGCTGCATAGTGAGACTCGGCATCAAATAAATAAAAGCGTTATTTAAACAATGCTTACAGAGATGTTAGAAATAATTTCTTTGTTATAACTCATCTATTATCTTTAATCACCTACAATTTTGCATTTAAAATCAAAAATCCTGTTTTATAGCACAAAACTTTGTTGCTAACTCATTTCACAATGCTTCATGGATTATAATATCTCCAGTTCATGTTTTCTACAATTATTTTATATCCCTGATAATGGACATTGAATTTAGACTTTCCAGAAAAGCTTTTGTTGTGGTTTTGCTTTGTTTTGTTTTGGGGAAGGGCCTACAGGGTGTTCAGGGTCTCACTACTAGATTGGACCCATAGTGATCCGCCTGTTTACAGCTTCCCAAGAGCTGGGATTAAGGCTTGCGCCACGACGCCCAGTCTCAATCACCATCCCAGCATGCCTCAGGGGTTGGGCCTGCACAACAGGCCTGCGGATTGAACCCCCGGTCCCTGTGCCTGCTTACAGGTGTTTAATCTGCTGAATTATTTGACCAGCCCTAGAAAAGTCTTTTAATGTGACTTTAAAGAGTTTAGAGGGGCCAGGAAGATGGCTCAGTAGAATAAGCACTTCCCTGGCAAGTACAAGGGCCTGATTTCAACCCCCGATTCCACCAAAAAAAAAAAAAAAGTTTAGAATGTGCTTTGAGGGCACATTGTCATGACCTATATTAGTGACCACGGGAATATAAACATGTGCAGCCCTGGGAGGAGGGACACTTGCACACATATTCTAGCATAAATCCTTCGATAATTACATGCAGGTTCAAACAAAACTTAACTGCAGGTTTTAATTACACCAGGCAATTGGACTCTGCTTTTGATCATCTAATAAATTTTATTGAGAACTTTAAAGATGGTATTTTAGGTACTTGGGATGTATTGATGAGCAGAAAAATCAGCAACAAAATCCCTACCCTTACCTCATGGGTAAGGATAAAAAATAAGCAGAACAATATAATTAGGCCAATTGTATTGTATCTAAAAGACTGATGAATGTTGTAGGGCAAAATTATATTGTAGGAAGGGGACCAAAGTTACTACGGAAGGGCCATATATTGGCTTTGATGATATATAGAATGGTAGAGCCTGGTTTTATTACAAATAAGAAAATGCTATAGGCTTGCTTCATGAAAAGAACAGAAATTTAGGGGTTTTGTTTTTTAGGTTTTTTGCACTTTTTCTGTATTGCACATGTTCACTTTGTCATTTTGTGCTCACATGACCCAGAGAGAGAGAGAGAGAGAGAGAGAGAGAGAGAGAGAGAGAGAGAGA